TTCTGCAGCTGTGCAGCCTCCATGCCACACGTTGATGCTGGAGCACAGGATGCTCTCCACTGCACACCTGTAGAAGGAGGTGAGGACTGAGCTTCCCAGACAAGCTTTCCTAAATGTTTTAGTTGCAATATATTCAAGTGGGTAGAAGTTACACTGTGTAGAACTAGAGCTGTCATTTCTACCTTGTAACCCAAACCCGAAACCCAGCCCAGAGGACCCAGATTAGGGCCAGTCCGGGCCGTTATAATGTAATGAATATGCGGGACGTGCCGGCCTCAGGCTTTGATGCAGTTTTACAAATCAGCACAAATAAAACTAAGAATGCACAATATAAAATTGTGTTATCTACTTGTAGAGGAGGAGGCCGTAAATGTATATGTTGAGAGGATGAAGAAAGAAAGAACAGTGCAGCAGTCAATCAGACTGTGGAAGAAATCGCTAGCGCATTGCGTAATAATTGTGCACGTGGGCTCAGGCTTCTGCGGTTTTATGAATCATACAACACAAAGAAAACTAAATGCACAATATAAAATTGTGTTAATCTACTTGTTGAGGAGGAGGCAGGTCGGTCCGACCAGCCGGTTTAAAGAGGTTTAAAAAAGTTGCGTTAAGCTCAGATGGACACCGGCCACATGTGTCCACTGACTCGCCAGTTGAAATGGACTTACGATCTGTCCAGGGTGTACTCCGCCTTTTGCACAGTGAGTGACTGCTGGACATGGGCACTGCAACAGTGACCCCTGCTACCCAAAAAGGAAGAAGCGGGTAAAGATAATGGATGGATGGATCAATCAGCTGATCACCGGCTGCGCGCGTCTCCACACCTGCTGTCATCGGTGGTGAAGTAGCATAATCTACTAACATAATCTCTGCACTTCGGTGAAGACAGACATGTTATGTGTTTCCTGGCACTCTGTACCCCCCCCCACCCCCACCCTGCTTGCACTCTTTCATCCTGTGAACCCTTAAAGAGCCTCTTTTTTTCTGCATACCTTCCCAATACGAAGGGTCAGCCGGTCTCTCAACAAAATTGATCAACTTCTCCCAACAGGAGTCAGGGTAAAGAGGACCCGCTTACCTCAACGGAAACAAATTGGATTCATGATGACAACCAGCTTTTTTGCTGTTTGGGTTAGTGAAATCTGGATTGTCTACAAATTTGTGTGGATGTGTCGAAGCTCGGCAGCACTCAGACTGAATTATGTGCAGTTGCGTCAGCGAGTTGGTGCAGTTGTTATCAGGACTGTGAACTCTCTAGCAGCACAAATGAAGGTGGGAATAATCTTGGAGAAGTTGTGAGCTCTGTTTTAAGGAATCAATTTGGCTGTTTGGAGTTTCCATCAGAGGAATATACCAGTGAGACTTAAAAAGGCAGAAACAGCAATTCACGAGTTCTGCCTGACCCAAATGTACCCTTGAGGTGGACTTATCTCAATTCCCCCTGGCATGTTTAGAAAAAACAAAGATGCTTTGTCTGTCTCCTCACCCTTCCCTTCTCCAAGGCCGTGGACATGTGACAGAACCTCAACCGAGCTGATGGTGAGTAACACCTCTTATCTGGACAATTGCTAATAGGGGTGGGGGGGAGGGGGGGCGCTCTGGACTATGATACGACTTTCCTTTAAGAATTCAAAGTTTTCACCGGCCTATATGTACATGTATCATGTCTATTTATGTTGCTTTGCTGTGGTAGGTTTTTTGATGCCTCACATCATGCCCTGTCTAGGACACGGAGTGAGGGATCTTTTTTTTTTTTAATACCGTCTCTCCTCATGTTTTCTTCCCTTTTCTCACCTAAGCAAAATATTATTCTGAATAAGAATAAGAGGGCCGCGCTTTCAAAGTAACAGCTTCGTGCACTCCATTCATCTTTCGGACAACTGTACGTACATGTTCTCATTGTATCTCAATGCAATGATAAGGCTTATTCTGATTCTGAAAACCCGAAGCGAGCAGTGCATTCATTTAAAATAGCCTTGTTCTATATTTAAGATAATAGATAGATGGATGGATGGATGGATGGATGGATGAATCAGCTGATCACCGGCTGTGCACATCTTCGAGCCTGCTCTCATCTGCGGTGAAGGAAGTAGCCAAAAAAAGCCGAAACGAGCAGTGCGTCAATTTAAAATAGCCTTGCTTAAGATAATGGATGGATCAATCAGCTGATCGTCAGCTGATCACCAGCTGCGCGCGGCACCACAACTGCTGTCATTTGCGGCGAAGGAAGTAAAATCATTCAGTTAAAAGAGCCTTGTTCTATATTTTTCCAAATAATTTTGCTCTAAAAATTATTTTTGTTCATCTGCTTGACAGCTTGTCTTTACAGTTGATTTTTTAGACTATTTGTTTTGAATGTTAATATCCATTTGGTGACTTGTTAATAAAAATAAATCTTATATCTTCCTTTCATTACGTTTTTAAAACTATCATGTCAAACTGATTTGCTTGCAAACGCAGTAAAAACACAACTTAATTTTATTTTTTCGGGTTCGGCCGTCTAATTACTGGTAATCCGTTGGGTCCGGGTAGGGCTTGGAAAAAAAAAAGAACGGGCTCGGTCCAGTTTGGGCCGGATTTATTAGGCCCGAATGCAACTCTGTAGAACAATGGTGCCAAATTTGTTGATCGCGATCTACCGATCGATCACAAAGGTAATATGAGAAGATCGCATGGCATTAATAAAGTAGATATCAGCCAATCCTTCTTCCTCACTATGAAATTTGTCACTTGATTGACATGCAGGGCAGCCAGTCTGAGACCTGACATTTTCCGACACATGGGTCACCGCGTATGCACATACAACCACGCCAAAAGTTGCCTAGTAACAGCCTCCAGTTTATTTCTTCTAATCTAAACTCAAGAAGGTATAAAATGAGTGGGGGAGCTGGACCAAGTAAGAAGCAAAAAGAAACCTACCATTTCCATACAGAATGGGAGGAGGACTTTTTGTTCACAATGTCATATTCGAACTGTGTTTGCCTCATCTGCAAGTCTACCATTGCTATTCCGAAGAACGGAAATGTGGAGCGGCATTTTCAGACTACTGTATTTAAAAAAAAAAAACTATGACATGGACTTTCTTCCGAAAAGCGAGATGAGAAAGAAAAAGGTGAAGGAGGATTTGACCCAGCAACTTTGGAAGAATAACGTGGACTGTGAGTGTTTTTCACTGCAATTGGACGAGTCTACAGAGTGACACAGCAAATACTGCAAGTATGTTTTGTATTTTTATAGTAGGTAGATCACTTTGACTTGGTCATTTTATATCACAAGGAGCCATGGTGAAATCAGGTGAAGGCTAGCTGTGACCTTGGCCATCATAAATTGTTCTTTGGCCACCTGCACCATTTGAAGAAATTATACTTTTAAGCAACATAAAAACTAGAGAGCATAAGAATCCTTCAGAATCAGCACAGCATCTGTCCAGAGGACCTGATTTAACTTTGTTAGACAGCATAGTTTCCTCAAATGATCAAGGTGGCTGGTCTTAATCGATCTATCTACTGTATATGACCCATCACATTAAACCGTCTGTTACATTAACCTGGAGTTTAAACTGATTTTCAGTTTGATTTTAACGGAGTTACACAAAATACCTCCAGATTAATTACGTTAATCATGGAATAAAGGTAGTTTCAACATTTTTTTAACCTAAAGCCAAAAAAATTTCATGTGTGCATGTGCATTCTCAACTAGACTAATGGCTGAGCTTGGATTGGATCACTCCAGAACATTTACCCGTTTCTCTGTGAACCACTGAGTGTCATTTAGAAGCGTCTTTACCGTCATTGTCTTGCTAAACAGTGCATCATTGTCCCAGTCTCAAGGCTCTAGAAGACTGAAACAAATCTCTCAAGAATTTATCTTTATTTTATGACATCCATCTGTACTTCAACTCTGACCAGTCCCTGCTGATTAAAAACATTGCCACAGCATGACACTGTCACCACCATGCTTCACTACAGGAAAAATGTTCTCAGCATTGAATAGAAAGTCCTGTATTATATGTATCTTTACAGAGGGTAAAGCAGATCATGTTGGCATTGTTGCTCAGAATATTTATTTATATTAACTTATTAAGGTAATTATGTAACTTTTGAAGTTAATAGACTAGATCTAAATTATGGCCCAAACAATATCCAAGATTTGCATTTTCTTATTAGTTCAACCAGTCAAAGAAAGATGAAGTAACAGCAGTTTAATTAATCTATAGGAAGAATAAAACGTGTGTGATGAAATTAGTTTGTAGCTACAGACGTATTGTTGAAAAGCTACAGCTTCACAACATCCTGTGAACGTATTTGTCTCTCCTTTGTGCAGAATTCACATTTTGTGATTTTAGCTCAGCCCAAATGCAGGTGCCGGGCTGCATCCTGTGTGGGCCCAGATGGAGAGTGAGGGCTGCTGCGAACGCTCCTGGTAATGCACCGCTTTCACTTCGCACCAGATAGTCATAAATCTCAGAAATTATTTCAAAGATGAAACCTGTATTTCCACGGGGAAGACAAGTTAGCGAGAGTGGCAGAACAATCTGCTGTGTACACAAAAGTGTTGCGTGTTGATCTAGAGTCTCTGTATCAACAATCGCAAAACACTGAGAAGCCAGGAGATTCTGCCGCAGGAGCCGAACAGAAATAGGATGGCACAATGTACTGAATTAGTTCTGATCACACAATTTACATCTCTAGCTGAGAGGAAAGTGGACTATGATGGCACAAGGGAAATCTGCGCACAGGGGATGTAATTTGCAGCGCTCTGCGTGTTATATGTACTTCTTTTGCTGCTCCCCGAGGACTTCTCTAAGAAGGATGAATTCCCTTTGAATTTCATTTGGTAGCTTATTAAAATTATGTCTTATTTGCCGACAGATCTAGATGAAAGTAGAGAAAAATGTTCTGCAAATCAGATAATTTACAGTATATTCTGCTGTAACAAAAAAAAAAAGGTTGTGGATATCAATCCGAAAAAAACAAAACAAAAAAAACAACAGATTTTACCTGAGATGCGTGCAGAGCCCCCTCTGATGTACAGCGGTGGAGCCTGGAAAGCGTAGATGACGTCGTTTTCAGCTATGCTTGTTAGATCGTCTTCATCAAAGAAGGAGCGCTGGAACCCTGTGGAGTAAACCTCTGTCAGGATCACCTGGAGATCAACAGATATACACACAAACAGGGTTCAGTTTGCAGAAACGATGCACAGTAAAAGCGTGAACTTTGATGCAGCCTACCTCGCTGACAAAAACACAAACACCAAGAAGGAATGGTCCAGTTTGGATGTAATCTGGTCCACATGCAGACTGTTAATGGATGTGTAACTGACTCATTTTGCAAGGAGCCGTTTGTCTTTAATGAGTACCAAAGGGAAAAGATGCTAGCTTCACGAAAGAATTGGCACAGAGGATGCCTTGACGGGTTTGATTGGGGTCACTTTGTTTCATTCATATGCTCATCATGTGAGGAGTACAGATGTTCTAATGGCCTGATGTTGCAACCAACGGGTACATGAAAGCAACCCCACATGGTGCATTGTGCACCAAGCAAAACCCCATAACATCTGTGCCTGCCATCTGGACGCAAGTACTGGACTCTTTACAACATCCCATGCCATCCTAAACTGGGTCTTGATGGCTGGCTTCAGTCAGACTGTCCCATAGGTGAGCTGGCATTAACATCAGAACAGAGACAAACACATCTGAAGTGGCGCTGTAACAAGTAGGCATGGACTGGTGACAAGTGGCATTGTATATTATTCTCAAAGGATTCTGTATGACCACAGATGACCATTGTGGTGTGGTGGCGCTGAGCAGAGTGAGATAAGCAAAGGGAGCAATCCATCATCAGGTGCAATGGTGGAGCCAGTGGGTGGCCAATGTTGACCTTGGCCACCATAGGTTAATCAATGGCCACCCCACTGGCTTCTCCAGTTATTTCAGGAAACTATACTTTTAAACAATATAAAAACTAGAAAACAGATTACTAAAATGATTGGGGTAGACAATTTACATAATATATGGTGGTGGCCATCATGAGTTTTGACATGGCAACCCATTGTTTGATATGGTAGTTGCATTTCTTAGACCTAAATGCACCCACTCACCAAAATGGAAGTTGGCATGTAGCCTATTTTTCAAGTTATCCAGTTCACAAGGCAAATGGACATACGGTATATATGGCAGCCATATTGGATTTTGAAGTGACAACCCAATTGTTGATAGGAACTTTCTTACACTTAGATGTAGCGACACCAAAATGGAAGTTGGTGCTTCACTTGTTTTTCAAGTTATCAAGCTCATAAGATGAACAGATGGCTGGAGGGTATTTCCAATTCCCCTCTTTGCTCTGTGATAGGGGACAATTAAAGACCAGCAAGTGGGTCTATGAACCGCCTGCATCATGTTGCGGTCTTCTAATGGATGGTCAAGCCTCTGATTTTCCGCCAATCAAACGTATGTGGGATTGGCTCATATGTCAACTCCAACTCAGTGTCAGTCTGGTTGATCTTGAGGGCCAGTTATAACAGCTGAGGGCCAACTTGCTGCAGGAGAGGATAATATGACGGCATGAATAATTTCTGTACTAATTACTTCTTGTATCCAGGCTTGAGAGGGCACCACATCCAAGTGACCATGTGACCAGCAGTGTGCCCGTATTGCTAACTCTGTCATGCTTGACTTATGCAAGATGTTTTATTTAGCTTCCACCACTCCATTTTGGTGCTTAACAGTTTCATTTTAGTCCTGTATTGAAAAGTTAAGATTAAATGTAACTTGTGTTTCTTGAAAATGTGTTTCTGCTTCATCTTACCTGGTCTGGGGAAAGTTTCCCCTCATCAGCCACCATCCTTCTCAGGCACGCAACCGAACCAAAGAGAGGCACCGCCAGCCCAACCCGCAGATACCGCTGTCCTTTGGTGCTGAACACCAGAGTGACACACAACAGTCTGACAAAGAAGGACACACAGTCAGATGTGGCAGGAAATAAAATGACCTCTGTTTTGAGTTCTGGTTTCCTCTACAGCAAGAAAAGGGCATTAGAGGACGTTCATAAATAAACCAATACATTTTAGCATAAATAATAAATCGTTAAGACTTAGTTTTATGTGTGGGAAATAATAGAACGTCTGCTGCATTTTTAAACGTCAGCTCTGACCTCTCCAAAGGAAAAAGGAGGGGGTGTGACGGGACATAACATCATCTTTAAATAAAAGCACAATGAGATTTAAACACCGTTTGGTATTTGAGAATTTTTGTAGTTTTAAATCTCTAAAACAGCAGATTTGATGGAGAAAAGTGGACAATTCATGCATATGTTTTTAATTATAGCAGAATACGACAAGGATAATGATAAAATAAGATATTGACTATACAAGCAAACAAACAAAAATAAATAAATAAGCCTGATGTTTAGTGATGGGGTTGTGCGAACGTTTAACAGTTTTACTTTATTTTCTGCTTTTCCGACAAAAACATAAAAATATCTAGTTGCAAAATAAACATAAACAAGGTTCCTATATTTATCTTATAATGAACAATAACAAAAAAAAAAAAAAAAACTAAAAAAGGAAGTCTACAGTTGTGTGTAAAATGTGTTTAAATATGATTTTAGTCACAGTCCACTATCAGTTATAACTAATACATTAGAAAATGTTTAGTCAGCTAGAATATTGGGAGTGACATTTTTTTTCCTCTGTGGAAGTGGAGAGTACATCACCTCAGGAACTTATCTTGTCCCCTTTAGCTAAATTAACCATCATGTGCTGCAGGTGTTATGTAGGCTTAGATCTGGGGCGAGCAGGTAGTGGTGGCCAGACTTTAATTAAGAAAAGCAAATACAAGACTATAATAAAAAAGTCAGAATAAGAACATGCAAGGCACAAGAACAAACATCCAAGAACTTGACTCAGCATCTGAATACAGAAGGTTATATAAACACTGAGGGGAGATTAAAGCTAAATACAGAACAGGTGTGATTATTACTAACAAAGAGCAGGTTTGCAACGCAGAGAACAAAAAACAGACTCTAGAAACAAAAAAGTTAAAGATACAATCACAAACCGAGACAATTCAAAACCCAGATCAAGAAAAATAAGACCCAAATTCAAGAAACCAAAAGACAATATAT